TTTATTTTTATTTATTTATTTATTTATTTTATTCTTATGTTAATCCCCATACATTACATCATTAGTTTTAGATGCAAAAGTAAAACTTCTAAGGTCAGCTTGGGTGCATGTAAAAGTTTTTCTCTGATGCGTAATTATTAACTACTACAAGTTTTAAAATGCTAGATTGAGGGGCACCTGGGTGACTCAGTCGCTTAAGCGTCTGCCTTCAGCTCAGGGGAGAGTCTGCTTCTCCCTCTCCCTCTGCCGTTCCCCCTGCTTGTGCTCTCTCTGTCTCTCTCTCTTAAATGAATAAATAAAATCTTTTAAAATAAAAATAAAAAAAATAAAATGCTAGATTGAGTACAATCGTAATTACGGTAAAGAATCCTTAAAAACAGTAATCTTAAAGAGTTGTCAATATCTTTCAAATCCCTCTTAGACAAAAACATTATTCTCTACCAGACACTATTCTCACCATCAGTTAAGTCCTCACTCTTAAGAAGTTTACCAACTAGGAGGGCAATCAACTTGGAAATAAAGCTGTGAGGAACAGAGCTGGTGATGGCAGCAGGAGAAAGCAAGGGGCAGGCTGCCAACAAACACGGCAAGCAGCAGAAGCAGCTCAGAAGAGGGCGCGATCGTGGCAGGCTGGGCCTAGGAACTGTGCTGAACCTTGTGGCGTGCTGAGGGTTTGGTCTGGCAGCATCGGGAGAGACTCGTCTGGTCAGGGAGCAGTGCACCTGCTGGGGCCAGGGCAGCACAGGCTGCCTGCTCAGAGCACGGCGGGGGGGTTCACGCTGGCGGGTGCTCATTCCACCAACCCTGGCACGCCTGTGGAGTATTCAGTTCATATAAACACAAAGAAAAACCACCTTGTCGACGTTGCTGCAGTTTGAGCAAACTGATATACTGGAGGCAATGATGCTTAAAAATAACTAAAATGTTACTTGGGGGGGTGGGGAGGAAGGGGAGGTAGGCCCGTGTACTCATTTTAGTTGGGACACACTTGTGCTTTGCTTATTCCTGTGATTCCTGGGATGAGAAAATGTGGGGAATTCAACCAAAGGGGCCAGATATACACAGCAGGTTACGTTCTCACGCCAAAACCAGCCCAAGGCAGAGGCCCATGAGTTTCTACACCGGGTTGCCACATAAAGCTAGTCAAAGATTTGACTTGGATACGTTCATGAGAAGCTGCCTTCAGCCTATCAATTATTCAATCCGTCTTTCTCATTCACTTTTCAGGTTTAGAAAGTGAAGCTGAACTTCCTATAAATAAGGGAAGCATTTGATCCCTGTGCTCTGCAAGGACTGGATGAGTGCCAGCACATTTCTCCAATCTCCGACCAAAAGAAGCAAACATGACAAAAATGAGCCCGAATGACAAGGATTTATGCAGTTAAGGATCATTACCATGTACTCGGAATGTGCAGCACTTTGGAGTCGAGTTTCGCTTTTCAAAAGCAAGCCAGGCCTTTTCGGATGTGCGAGGCTCCCCTTTCCGCCTTGCGGGCTGCTCCAAATCCCCAAGCAGCAGCAGCAGGGACACAGACCACACCGCGCCCAAGAGAAGCAAGTGTTGCAGGAAAAGGAAGGCGGCTTTCTTTTAAGTGGGAGTCCTTAAATCCCAGAGGACAGGTCTTGGGAGAAAGCACAGGGAGCTCCTGGCTGCCGAGGAGCCGCGGGGTGAAGGCCGAGAAGGGCGCCTGGCGGGGCCCCTGGGTGACGGCCTTTCACACACTCCTTCCATCCTCTCTACCTCCTCACATCTTTCTTCCACCAAGGCTGTTTGAGGAATCTTAAATTTTTATCAAAACTCTCCTCTCCTTCTCACAAAAATGGATCCACAGTGAAAAACGACATCTATCAATTATGTAATGTATGGGGATTAACATAAGAATAAAAAAAAAAAAACGACATCTATCTGACTTGACAAAACAAATCTCACATTTTTACGCTGGCACTGTCTCAAAAATAACATATGTTTAAGAAGTTTCCAACTCTACTGATCATGTAAAGTTTTTAAATGTTTAATTTCAAAACAGCAGCACCAACTTCCTCATGCATCTGATCAGCTGCAAGCGTTAACGGACTCCTGAAAAAGCTCTCTCCTACACCAAACCTTCAGGGGTCGCTTCGGTCCCTCCCTGCGGCCTCCTAGTCCGCTTCTCCCCCTCCCATTTGCCACCCCCAACACGACCTTTCCTCAAACCCATCCTCTTGTCTCTGGCTCCAGTGTGCACCCAGGATCTCACCACTTCTCCCCAGCACTGCTGCCGTGCTCTTCAGTCCCTGGCCTCGGGCCTGGAAGCTCCCAAAGCCCCGAAAGCCCACTTGTGACTCAGGGGCCAGAGTGTGCCCCACTAGCAGATCAAGTCACCCCTCTGCTCAGAATCTGCCCATACAGAGCAAAGAGCAAGGTGCCGACCCTGGGTCCGCAGGCCACACATGATCCACTGCCTGCCGTCCCCACCCCCCTCCAGACACATTCCTGCCTACCTCTTGACCATGCCAGGGCCCAGATGCTTTCACCTTAGGGCCCCTGATCCAAAAGGCTCGCCTCTGCACTAAGGTCTCTGATCAAATGGTTCTTACCAGGCCTTTCCTCAGCCCCTTACAAAAGACAGCACCTCACCCAGTTTATTCTCCATCCTCATTACCTACTCTATTTTCCTTAGCACACATATGTACCACCACTTGACGTATATTGATTTACAGATGGTCTCTCCTCTTAAAACATAAGCCTTGTGAGGCGGGACCTTCTGTTCTTGATATGGCTCCTAACACAGCACCTGGCACACAGTAAGTACTTAATAAATACTGCTGGCTGAAAAAATGAAAGAGCAAAATCAGGAAAGCACACAGTTTCTAAACACTCTTTGTTAGCATATTTTAAAATATCAGCAACGAACTTACAATCGATATGTCTATCAGTGCCAGCCTTCATCTTAATTTCTTTCAACCTAAAGGGCAAATGTCAAGCAGTAACACTCAGACACAAGACTGTATTTGCAAAAGCACAAGTAATCTGTAAGTCTTTTACGGCAATACCTTTCAGAAGTCACAAGATGGGGATGTAGCTTCATGAGCACTCGGTCTGCTGGGACAGGAATCCATGGGTATTCAAATCTGTATTTGTGGGCACATATCTTATCTCCCCAACTTCTTTGATGGGCCATAATGATAGAATGAATATGTAAGATCCACTGTATTTATATATATCAGGTCTATGCTTCCTACAAGTCACTGGCTCCACTCTAGGATATGTATCAACTGGTTTAAAAATGCTTGTGTCTTAAAATAGGGAGGTATCAAAAGCTGGCTTGCTAAAACCAGCCAACCAACACTACCAATCTCTTCTCTCTTTCCATGAAACCTGAGAAAATCCTTCCCACTAAGCTTACTAAGATCAAGTCTCTCTGTATAATTATGATGCTTGAAGGCTCTTTCCTTGAACTAATGGATACCACAGACATTCCCCGGAGGAGGGAGGGAGGGAACGCACTTGAGAAGCAAACAGCCCAGTGACCCGGCCACAAGGCCACTCCCATCTGCACTCACCACTTCATCTTCTGTCCAGCACTTTTCGATCAGCTTGGGCACAGGCTTCTTTACCAGGCGCTGCAGGGCTTTGCCAGCGTCATAGCCACTTTCATGTAGCTAAAACAACAACAACAATTTCAGTTAGTGAGGTGTGCCAAATAACAGATCTGGAAGCTCATCAATAAAAGAGAAACTCTGCATTTGTTCCAAGAGTAGAATCATGGAATGGGCACGTTCGTCAGCAAGAGAATTCGTTCTCCTCCAATCGCCCCCTGGCCCCAGTTCCAGCTGTTCTGGGAAAGGGAGGCAGGTAAGGTAGAGAACATTTTGGAAAGAACAGGAATAGGATTCAGAACAACAGTAACAAACACTTACTGAACATTTGGCCGGGCACAATGGTGAGCACAATCCGTGTACTCATTATCTCTCCTAATCCTATGAGGAAGGTATTTTCTCATTTAAGCTTATGGGGTAGGAACTACAGTCACCCCATTTTATGGATGAGGAAACTGAGGCATAGAAAGGTCAAACAAAGGTGCTCAGCACACTAAACCAGCAGGTGGTAAAGCCAGACTCCAGCTAGTGTGATTCCCACCCACTCTTGTCCCATTCCCCCCCAAAACAGTTCGAAGACCTACTGAATTATGTTATTACCCTTTAGCATTTCTGAAGTCTTTCAGCTGTAGTAATTTCACTAAAAAAAATTTCAAGTACCTAAACTTTAAGAGCTTTTTAACAAAACTCTTTAACAGTACACTAGCAGTACATGTGAATGAAGATGCTCGTTTATCTACACACTCCTTCTAGGAGCCTTCTCTCTCATCAAAGGTAATAAACTTCCTCCACTTCATATCCTTTCCAACCCCAGGCAGTGCCTGACACCACTCAGCCTCTCTATCTTGCAAAGACATTCCTTTCTTGGTTCATGTGACCCCAATCCCCTTCTAGTTCCAGAGTTTCAACTTGCAGACGATGGAATGAAGTAGCAGACAGAAAGATCCTCTTGCTTACTGTGGCTGTCCCTCCAAAATTCTCACTGGAAATCTGGCTCTCCTTTACAGATCTAGTACTCTGGCACAAGAATCCATTTTGGCTAAGACCTTATCTCCAGTGCCTAACACAGTCCGTAGCGTATGGAGATCTAACAGAACTACTGGTTAAATTAATAAATAAATGCCTTCAACTATTGTCCCTTTGTAAACTCCACCCAAATCTAAATCTCAGCTGATGTGAATTCATTTGGCCTTAAGCTGACTAAGTGCCTATTGCATTCCAGGCAATGTACTAGACTCTGGGCATACAGCGGTGAACAAAACAGGCAAAGGCATCCCTGCTCTCATGGAACGGACCTTCCAATCTTCTCACCTGTGCTTCAATCCCTTATTTGAACAATGCACCAGCATCAGTTGCAAACTCAGAAATAAGGTCCAAACCTTAGTAAGCCACGGTTTTTATTTCCAGGAAACTCGCAAACTCCTAGGGATGTGTTGTAGGGACACAATACATATGAGATGACAAGATTGAACAGATCATAGTAATTGCTCCTACCTAGGTGTTAAGTAAAGAGCTACAGACTCACAAGAGGAGAGAGTGCTGTGTTTCCCCTCTTTAGTAGAAGACTCATAAGAAGGACGTGCAGATTGCCTTCCTAGCAACTGCTACAGACCCAGGGCGGGGCATATAGTAAGCCTGCAGTAAATATTTGTTGAATAAATTAAAACAGTATTTGAAACATACACAGCAAGTCCCTCTTCTAATTCAACTGCTATTAGAAGGGATATCACAAATATCCATTTTCACTGCTCATTCAGAGAAACAGAAAGTATTAAAAATTAAAATTTCCTGAGTATTCTCACTGTTTGGAGGACCCCAATTTATTTTAAATCCAGGTCTAAGGAAGTCCAGGTTAAATATTAACTGTAACAATAAGTCACTACCTTAAAACAAAACAAAAACCTACAGCAACAGTCAATGCTCAATTCTGTTTTGATGATGGTACAATGTGTGTCTGTGTGTGTGTTTAGGGGGTGTATGTACTGAATATGAATGCTAGATATTAACTTGTAGATTTTCATAACATTCATCATTAGACTTTAAAAAAAAATATATACCATAAATACCATACTAAATAAATACTAAAGTGTTTGAAAACTGTCCAATCTAGACTTATTTCTGCAGTATAAAAAGATGAAAATAAAGTTAGATTTTCAAACTTTGCCCAATATCCAGACCAAGCAGGTATTGTCAAGGTCTATAATACAATAAGAATCTAAAATATGAGCTTAATGACATGGACTAGAACTGAATAAAAGAAAAAATTGCATGCCTATTTAATTTTTTTAGGAGCACATATTTTAGTGATAATTTGAAATCAATTCAAGTTGATCAAATCATAACTTCTTAATAAAAAGCTTATGGAAAATTAACATTTCTTAAGAGGTAATTATAGTATATGGGGTAATTATGAAGAACGTGATAAAAAACCATGGACTGTGGAGCCAGTCTATCTGGATTCAAATTCTAGCTCTATTACTTACTAGTGTGGGACATCAGGCAAGTTACTTAACCTCTCTGGGACTTAATGTTGTCATCTTTAAAAATGAGTATAATAATAACATCTACCTCTTAGGGTATTATAAGAATAACGTTAGAAAACACATGTAAATTGTTTAGAACTGCACCTGGCACATAATATGCTAAATGAGTATTAGCAATTTATTTTTTAAAGGAAAAAGAAAAAAAATAAAGGAAGCAGTCTCTACTCAATTTTCATCGATTTTCTAGATTAGATAGTAGCCTTTCCAGAGAGGGGGGGAAAAAAACTGTTAAACTATAAACAAAACCACTTATGTTTCACATAATTACTCATGTTAATAGTTTTTGAAATTTGACTAAAACACTGGTAAAGTTCACAGAAAAAATTTTAAAATTTAACATCTTATATGGCTGGATAGGAAATTACTCATAAGAACATAAAGCCTGTTCCAAAAGTGTACTGCTGAATGAAGTTAAATCAAATGTCATCAATCCCTGTGCCATTCCTGACTTTTGGTGAACCAAGCTTTGAATAGGAGCTGCAAGAAATGTTCTGAATAATTTGCTGAACTTTTGGTTTATTAGAAAAGCTGCCCAGTGCGTGCATGGCGCCCTCAGTTAAATTTCTAGTGAGCTGCTTCTTTGTCCCCTAAACATACCCTGGCGTTCACACTTCCTTCACAATCTTCATTTCGCATCACACTGTCCCCTGAAGAAGCTGTTGCAATGTGTGTGTGGTAACCTGGGCTTCCTTCTGCTACTCTGTTCTCTAAATACTGGGTAATTCCCTCCTTTCATTTGATCCACTGTCTGCCCCTCCTCTTAAAATATTCCTGTTCCTGACCTTTCCATGATATAAACCCAATAAATATTTAGTGTCTACTCCTACCCTCTACACCAAGACATATTTGAAAAGTCAGAGGTATGGGATTATTTACCAATAGTGATGAAATATTTATTGAACAAATGAAGTTAGGGTACTATTGTGCTGTCATCAATAATTCATAAAGGCTAGTCCAAAAGCCAGATCCAGGGGTGGCTCTGCCATGCCCTCTTCCTAGGGAACCCAACTGAACCTCTCCACACTTTCACCTTCTTCTGAATGTTATAAACATTTAATTCTACTTTCTAGGAATCTTGTCTGAGAACGTTCTGAGAGTTTTACATCTTTATAGAAATATTTTAATTATATTTAAGTAAAGATATACTTTTAACATACTAAAAGTTATGGCCCACATAGCTTCACAAAAATGAAGATTATGTTTTGAGCATTCTGGGAAAATTACTGGAGTTCAGGACATCCTTCATTCCTTCCACAGATGTTTACCAAGTGCTAAACTGCGCCAGACACTACTCTAGGTGCCAGACAGAGATACAGCTTGTGAAGAACACCGATAATGCACATCAGAAATGTAGGAGTGAAAATGGTATAACCTGTGAGAGGCACTGTAAATTACTAGTTTTGTATAATACGGCTTCCTCAATCTCACATTCAAACTCTAGGGTCCTCAAAGGGTGGGTACTACCTTCTTTAGTCCATGTATCTGGCAACAAGTAAGCCCTTCTAAAAGAGGGATCATTTTCTAGATGATTATGAAGATTTTCTTTCTTCAGATTGGAGCCAAAATAATATTTGAGGAAGAGCTAAACTGGAATTTCAACTGTATTCCTTATGTATATTAGAATTAAATCTACCAAAATATTGGTTACCTTAAATCTCGAAAAACTGTCATTAAAAACATTCCCCTCAGGGCTCCTGGGTGGCTCAATCGTTAAGCGTCTGACTTCAGCTCAGGTCATGATCCCGGGGTCCTGGGATCGAGCCCTGCGTCAGGCTCCCTGCTCTGCCAGAAGCCTGCTTCTCCCTCTCCCACTCCCCATGCTTGTGTTCCCTCTCTCACTGTGTCTCTGTCAAATAAAAAAATAAAATAAAATAAACATTCCCCTCTAATACAGCACCAACCTCTAACAAATTATAGTAATTTCATCTGTGGAAAACATTATGTGGGTTTCAAATTTTAAACATCTGATCACAACCATACAGACACATCAACATAGTGAGGAAATTCAGTGCAGGCTTCTCACTATCACTGAGGTAAAAAGGTCCTTTAATGTGAATAAAATTTTCTACCATTTCCCCAGAGAAGATTGTTCAAAGAAACTGCAATGAAGACAGGGGGGAAAAAAACCCTCAAATGTCTTATAGGTTCACTTTGTAGCCTTGTAAAAGCAATTAAAGCAAGATAAGTAACCGTTCTGTCCATTTTGCAACCAAGCAGAGCTAGTAAATTCTGGGATTAAATGCAATTTTAATGTAGAGTATAGGGAACTGTACCATTTTAGAGCAACTGGGAAAAAATCATCGCAAAATACAAGGACCAAGATACAACATCATTACTTAACCAGCTTTCAATGTTTACAAGCTACTGGTGGGAGAAGCATTTAGATCTCACACCATCCCCATCACCCTGTCAGCCGCTAAAGCAGGATGTCATTCACCAGAAACCACTGTTTTCAAATTCATCATCCCGGAGTGTGTGGGGTGTTTGTGTGTGTATGTGTGTAATCCAATGATCAGGTAG